TACAAAGCCTTATTCCATATGGGATAACATACATTTGTACAGAGGTAGATGCAAAAGTTATTTAGTTCTATTAACGTATCACCACAGATATCATGGAGTGTCCCTTTTGTTGAACTGTGACAACAAAATTTTGATACTGTAATTAATATGTTCTTTGTTTATTTTCAGTTACAATACTTGGAGGAATTATTGGAATCTCTGGATCTTTTGCAAAATGGCAGTTTGCAGTCTATGCTGTGTATCCTTAAAGAAGCATTTTTCAAAGTGTATCTATTTAAGGAGATTATAGTGGATTATCATTTCAAAGACAATCCCTCATAATCAAAGGTTTTGTTTAGTGTTCATTTTGACTTGTCACATGTGTGTATAAGTGACTGTAAGTTTTAACAAGTTTTGAATTTTTATTTTGATTGTTATACTATTTATTTGCTTTTATTTTGTGGAAGGTTTTTTGGGGAGTGGTGGGGAACCATAACAAGTGCTACTACCCAAGGTCAGGGTGGATCTGGGAACACCAGCAATTAAGAGATGGCTCCTCAAAACCTTCTGATCAGAGGCCTTGCTGCTGGATGTAGTTTATCGTCATACCCAGGATGCCTCATTGATGAGTGGAGACTTACCCCTCTGCAGAGGTGCTGTCATCATATTCTGAAGCCCCAGCTGACTGAGCGAAAATAGGAAAGGAAAAGAACAAAACAGAGGAAGTGAAAATCTTAAATTTTTCTATTCCAGGAATAGATGAGGTGGTTTTTAAAATTCTTTTCTGATCCAGTTTCTTCTTTTGAAGATAGTTTTCATACAGCAGAGAATGGATGAGATACAGGAAGATTTCTTAATGTCTTTTGTTAGAAATTATTTTTGAGTAGATTTCAGCTCTTGGTAGTTTGGGGGAAGGGATAAAGGTAATAAAATAATTTACTGAAACCTGAACCTTGCCTGCCTGCTTGCAAAGCTTCTTGATCAAGGATTGGCAGGGGGTCAATTGAAAGTGAAGGAAAGGGAAATAAAAACTGTGATGAAAGACATGACTTACCTCAAAGTTCAAAACGAGTGCGAACGTGTCTTGCCTGCAAAGTAATGCAGAAAAGAAATATGGCCGCTATCGAAGACACAATTTATGCATGCCAATCTCGTCCAAAACGAGATGATATTCGCACACATGCAAATTTCTGCCGTATCAGACAAGCATAAAAAGCGAGATGCCAGCAGCATGACTCAGAAGGTTTGGGTCATTCGGCGGACTTCGTGCAATAGAGTTGGACATACAAATTGACTGACAAAGAGGAAGTCGAAGTAGTCGTGGTTGAGTTGCTGTCTGTTTCACAACTGCCCAGTGTAACAGCCGAGAAAGAGAGTCTCGCAATCCATTTCCTTGAGGCGACTGACAACGAAGGAAGAACAGCTGGTTTGCCGACGAACGGCGCACTGCACTTTCTGACCCCCCCCTCTCGTCACTTTCTTCTTTTTGTTTACTACAAAAACCCAAAGTGTTTTTTCTACTACAATAAATTGTTTTGATAAACATGATTTTTTAACCAATGGCTACATGAGCTGGTTAAAATCTGAAATAATTGCATTGACTCCCAAAATTTTGGGGGTAAATTGGAGCCAGCCACTGACTATAAAATCCCTGTAATGCACTATCGCCAACAGGAGTGGGTGACACGATGCCTTCTAAAAACATCTGAAAACCTGAATACATGTTAACTCAAAGAAACTCACTCCTCAATGAAGTCTTGACAACCAAACTGTTATTTTCATGACAGAATTAACCTTAGAACACTAACCATGTGTATATAGTACCCAGTGCAAATTTTCCTATTTTTAATTACAATTTTCAGTACCTGATTTTCTTACCTAAATAATGTTTTTCAGTTCCTATTAGGTTGGTGCAAAAATAATGAAGTAATAATGTTGTTTTTTGACATATTTTTTGACGTCAAAAAACGACATTATTACGTCATTATTTTTGCACCAACCTAATATTAATGTTAACTCAAAGTACAAAGTTTGAAGTACCTGCATGAAAATATTTCAAATAAAGATTTATATTTAATATATTTTTGATATTTTCAAAATCGGGTATGATATACCCATGGTTAGTAGTGGTGTAACTTTAATTGAGTGTTCTAGGGTTAAATCTTATTTTCACCCTGACAAAAACAGTTGTTTCCACAGCAGAAAATTTTCTTTATTAATAATATTTTTCAATTAAAAGAGGTTTTTATTTTGTCCAAAACTAATCAAATATGTTCCAGTAAGGTGTTGGCTATAATCTGAATCAATCTAATTTGTTCATTTTACTAAATCTTAATTTATAAAGATTTAAAAAGTTGTGTCTTTACAAGCACTTCAATTTGTTTTGTGTCAGTTATAATTAAAAATACATCATAATGCATTCAATACTTTCCTTGACTCTGATAAGAGTAGCTGGACTTGTAGTGATTATCATGGAATATCCACGAAGTTTAAGAGCAAAAGGAAAGAGTACTCCACGGAGGTAAGACCTTTTTGTTACGATAAAACTTGGATAATACTCCTAGTGTGACTCTTTGTATGTGTATGAGTATTTTTACAGAACAGGTCTGAAAAGGATGAATTGTTTCAAAGTTAGGATGCTTGTCTCTGTTGGTAGTTGCATAATTAAAAGAAAAAACTTGTAGTTCCAATGAATGATTTATTTTATGGAAATAATTTGACTAGAAGTTGTCAGTCTTGGTCATTCCTTAATTTGAGTAAAAACAGTGTAAAGGAGACTTTGTGATAAGGTAATTTCAAATGATAACGAAAAACAAAATTTGGAAAAAACTTATTTTTGTAATAATCAGGTTTTTTTAAAAACAAAAATAAGGATTTTTAAAAAAAAAATTGTCATGCAAGCATTATCTATGTATTCCAGTAAATGGGCAAACTTTAATGCAGTAAGGGAGGGAGGCCAGGTTGTACCCAGGGACCCAACTAAGATTGGCAGTATCTCCTAAATGGTAGATTTTCCTCAATTTTTGTTGCTATTTTTGTAATTTTTAATACCATTAATAATGAATTTTTTTTAAATTGGTCACTGGTTATCTACAAATTTACCAAATTTTCTTTGAATTTTATCAAGAATCTTGTGATATATAGTAGGAGCACCATACCAAATATGGCAGCAATATTCATTGCGCAGATAAATGGTAGATTTATAAATGTGTAAGATGGATTTTGACAAGAAAAATTTCCTGGCACAATACAGGAAACCAACTTAGAAATAAACTTAACAATTGCTTTGTTTGAAATCTTGAAAGGCCAATGGATATTGAGAGCAATTCTAAGTAAATTTCTCAGGAAAGCAGTAATATTTCTCTAATCTCTGTTGGTGTTCTGAGTTGTACAATGTGTGTGGATGATTTAAATTTGGATGAATCTGACAGAATAATAAATATGCAACCATTTCTGTAAGTTGATATGTTTCGCATATAAAATAGCGTCATCAGGAAAACAAAATTTTTTTAAAAATCCATTTTATCTACTGACCCTGTTTTATCGACAAAAAATGTCACCAAAAGTTTTTTTTACAAATTGTCATTATTTACCGTGTTGACACCGCTAATCACAGGATTTTGTAAATTCAGATATGAAAGACTGAGTTACTTCCCTTGGATAAATGTAAGGAACAAAATTATGTCCCTTGCTTCGTTCACTGTAAGGAAGAAAGTTACTTCCCTTGGTTCAGTGTTAACAGATTTGGATCTCCGAACGTTGATTTTTTATGTACTGCGTGCAACAAATGAGAACAAATATTAATATCAAGAAAATCAAAGGTGTTTAATAGAAAAAAAAAAAAAATAAATAAATCAGTATATTTGCAAAAAATAAAAATAAAATAAAATCGCACAATCAACCTGTTTTCATCATTAAATACTTTTGTGTTGTGTGTCCATTTAGGATGTAGGTATTGATGGCTCGCCACAACTTCCGATTCTTTGTAGCTCTTAATGTATGTTTTTTGCCTATCCCTCCCATTCTCTGTTCTGTCATCCACTTACACAAGCTCGTTAGGTAGGTTACTCACTGCTTTTCTCTGTTTCTTTTGCTTTCCATATGCTCTGTGAGTATCAAATTCTTCAAGCCCTATTGCTTCATTATGTGTCTGAGAAACTATCTTTCTCTTTCTGATACTAAGTATTAACATTATTTTTGTCTCTATTATCTTTAAAGCTTCCATGTTACTTTAATGTTCAGTGATATTCTCATTATCCTACTGTAGAGCCACATTTTTGTTGCCTCTCTTCTCTGTGTGGAGATTGTCTGATATTCACTGCCATATATGAGGACTAATGTTACATAGCAGTTCAGCACTCTTTTCTTTGTTTCTAATTATATTTTGTCAGTTTCCTAATACTTTGCTAAGATTTTGTAAGGCATCTTTTCCTTTTGTGTTTAGCGGATTGAACCATGGAAATCCACAGAACACCACCAAAACAATTTGACTCTTTCACAACATCACTAATGACATGAATCATGGTGTTGAAAGTAGAAGTCTGGCAAACAGAAAAAATGTATCCATAGTTGTTAACTGACAACACAATTCTATAGTCATGTAGTTGGTAATGTAATACTTTGGTAGGATAACTGGCAGCACAATTGTGTGGTAATTCTCTTGTCAGATAATTGGCAACTCATTTTTTTGGCCAGATAATTAGCAACTCAATTTTTAGGCCAGATAATTAGCAATGCAATTTTTAGGCCAGATAATTGGCAAATCAATTTTCTGACCAGATAATAGGTAATTCAATTCTCTGGTCAGATAGTTGGAAATGTAATTTTCTGGCGAGATAATTAGCAAATCAATTCTTTCACCACATAATTAACAACTCAATTCTTTGACCAGATAATTAGCTATGCAATTCTCTTGTCAGATAATTGGTAACTCAAAATTTTGAGCAGGTAATTAGCAATGCTATTCTTTGGTCAAGTAATTGGTAACTCAATTCTTTGGCCAGATAACTGGCAATGCAATTCTCTGTGGAGATAATTGGAACTCAGTTCTGTGGTAAGATAATAAATGTTACTGACTCAATTCTGTTGTTATAATACATTACTGCTGTATTGAAAATGTCGATAAATGGGATAATATATTCTTTTTCCTTTCTCTAAATTAGGAATTTGCTTAACGAAGAATGTTGATGAAACTTCAATAAACCTTTTCTTCATTAGGGATACACTGGCCTTGGGAATTGTACTCTGGCTGATGTGTCAAATGCATCACCTGTTTTAGTTTGATAGATGTATTAAAGAATGGCCTTTTAACACTTTGGGCTTTCCTTCACTGCCTTTTTACTTTTGACAAATGTCACTTCAAACTTAAAGAGGCCTTTCTGCATTGTCTGCCTCAAGGATTATTATTTGTATGTTGCAGCTTCCTAAATGTTTTGATGATACTCAGAGTTCTCAAGTTTCTTTTACAGATATCTTCACTGCATTGTTGGGTCTGCCTATGGAGTGCTTTACCTGGGCCACGGCTCAGCCAGGAGGATATACATGTTGAGAGTTGCAACCCTCTTGAACATGTTGATATTTAATACTTTGTCTTGCCCAGAAATATTCAGGACTAGCAGTAGAGCCCGGCGTTGCCCGGGGATGTAACAGTAAGAAATAGATCAAGTATCGACCATCATAAAGACTGAAAAATAAAGTTGACAAAGATTATTGTTTAAGGTTGACAGACATGCATGTCTTAATTAGTTTTTTTTTTGTTTTTTTTACGAATTGGTCAAACCCAAACTCAAACAAAAACATTGTTTTCAATTGTTATGAGTCTACCGATTGAATAGAATTTTATTATAAACAATTGTCTTGTAAATGGAATTTTTAAAGCATTCTGAATGTAAAAATAAAGAAAAAAGTGTGCGAGACAATAAGAAACACTACCTGCCAAAAAAAAGTAAAGTTTGTTGAAATCGGTTGAAAAATGTAGGAAATCCGATTCCATATATAAACGAACACACACACACAAACAACTTGGGTTTTATAATAAGTATAACTCGATATGAGTTGTCCCCCTTTCATTCTGGCGACAGAATCGTGTTTTCAAATTGATTTAATGCAAAAACAATTGTGTTTTTCCAATTTTTGGTGCTGTCAGAACCACCGCAAGGTAATTTTATGTAGTCCTGTGAAGTTTTGTTGAAATTGGTTAAAAAGTGTAGGAAATCCGATCCAATATATAAACGTACAGACACACACACACACACACAATCTGCGTTTTATAATAAGTAAGATGCTGTAGTGCATTTGGAAGGTACTGGGCATCCATTCCGTTCTGACACTCAGTGTTCAAAGAGAGTACTTATAATACAGTTCCTTGTTTGGTGTGTTCTGTTAGCTTGTTGATATTCCATATACTCTCTTTGACAATCTGGATGTGATTTTACCAGCCTAGCCATTATCTTTGGCTTAACCCAGTGTTAAGAAAAAGTGAGTTTGAGATAGTTGATCCCCGACACACAAAGTCGTGGATGATTTCAGAAATTCTGATGTTGGGTATGCAATCCATGTCCTGCCCTATAACCTGTGTTTGGTAAATGCTGTGTTCTTTGCAAAGAGGTAATTACACAAGGGATTACATTGGAACATTGGATTTTGTCCTTAACTTGCAGAGCTTTCCATCTGAAATAGTGAAATGGATAATTCAAGACAATTTGTAGATGATGATTGTTATGTTCCATGCGAATAGGAATATGGAATGGATAAACACAGCGGATAAATAGTAACAGGTTTATTATAGAAACCAGTACAACAAGAAAGGAAGTAAATAGTTAAGCGCACAGTCGTCGCAAGTCAGTACAGTTGTGTGCATGCTTTTATTGGAAGGCTGCTAGTTCTTGCAGATCCCAGCTCAACTCTCTTGTCCACTGTCCTCACGGATACTTATAGGTGGTTACCACCTATAGTGCCGCTAATCATAGGGGTGGCAGGTTATTCCCTCACATCAATGATGAAGGCGGTGATAGGACTGGAATAACTGAAAAGATATTTCAATAGCAATTTCTTTCTCCTTGGTCTTCTTACTCTGGTAGTAAATTGGATAGTGATTCAAAAGAATTTGTTGCTGATGAAGAAGGTGGAGGAAGCAATCAGTGAATTGGAATATCTGATGAGATATTTCAATAGCAATTTCTTTTTCCTTGCTATTCTTACTTTGGCAGTGAATTGGATAGTGATTCAAAAGAATTTGTTGCTGATAAAGAAGGCGGTGGAAGCAATCATTGAATTGGAATATCTGATGAGATATTTTAATAGCAATTTCTATTTCCTTGCTCTTCTTACTCTGGCAGTGAATTAAGTGATTCAGGACAATTTTTCAGATGGTGATGTCATTGAAAGCAACGTTTGAGTAATGAAATTTTTTCGCCAATGTGCCACTGGTATTAATATTAAGATATCACTGTCATGAATCAGGCTACAGAAAATTATTTCAGTTTTAGCTTAGTCTGGTTCAAGGCCATAGTGGAGTACAGA